CTGGGGCGAGGAACGGCCTTCGGAGGCTGCCTTTCTGAGCCCTGGCCTGCAGTGGGCTGGGGGCCCTAGGAGGGACACGGCATGTCTGCTGTCCTGCTTGTCCTGCTGTCCAGGCGGTGCGGTCTGCAGCCTTGGAGAGCTGTGGCTGGGGCAGCTCAGGCTGCGCAGCTGGGAGCAGCAGGCTCCCGGGGCGGAGGAGAGGCGCACCCTGAAACTGGACAGAGCAGGGCTGGCCCGCCGCTGAGAGCGTGGGCGACGTAGGGGGTGAGAGCGCTGCAGGAGCCGAGGAGTGGAAGGTCTTGCAGCGTGTGTGTCCATCTCCGGGCCGCGGCTCGGGGGCGGGTCTGCCCAGTGCGGGTCACCCTGGGCTCCTTCCCAGTACTGGGGAAGAAGAGGCCCATCTCTGGCCCAGGGGTGAGGAGGGGCCTGGTGGGGGGAAATGGGGAGCATGAGAGAGTTGGCTTCTGGGAAGTCTCCAACGCCCTTAGCCTGGCTTCTTCCAGGAGGGTGGGGAGCCCTCTGACAGTCCCTCCGGCTCCCGCCCTGGCCCCCGACCCTGGTTCCTGAGGCCTGACGGCATCTGGAAACCCTGCAAGCTTTGTGTTCTGGGAATGTCTTCAGCTTCTTGCTGAGAGCCTCCTCTTTGACACTGGAGAGGCAGGGAGGCCCCCACATCCCTGAGGGTGAGCACTAGGGGCCCCAGGAAGCCTCACTCCTTGTGTTCCCGTCCCACGGCTGCTGTGATAGCCGGTCATAGACACGGTGGCCTAAAACGTGCAGACGTGTGCAGTTCCGCAGGCCGCGTCCTGCGTTGGGCGTGCTGAGCTCAGCCTTGGTTCTGAGGCTGCAGGAGAGAACCTTCGGCTCCTGTCTCCGTGTGCCTCTGCTCCCGAGTGACTGGCTGCCTCCTTTGCCCAGGTAGAGGCTGTGGCATGGACGAGCCCTGCTTCCTTCCGGCCCCTGCTTCCCCCTGGGCCCTGCTTCTGTTGTAGGCAGCTGAGTTAGATAGAAATATTATAGGCAGTCAGACAGGGCCAGGCCCTGGAAGGAGCCAATATGGAAGATGAGATACCTTGTGAATGGAGATGTACTTGCTGCGGGCCAGACCTCAAGACAAAAGATTAAACAAATGCACCTACATACCTGCCTGGGGATGGACATCAGGGATCCACATTCTAAATGGGTAGCGATGACCGTGAAGAGTCACTGACCCAAGCCCTTACCAGAGGAGCCCCTGTTCTGTATTCATGCCCGCTATTACGTGACTCGCTTCCCATTTGATCCTGGTTTAATCAATTTTACCTGAACGATTATACTTGTAATCTTATTGGCTGACCACACTTTTGTCCCACCTCATGCCCACCTGGCAATTTCCCATTTTTCCCCCATCTTGGGCCCACCTCACCTTGTGGTTTTGCTCTATAAAAATCCCTGGAAAAGACAGGTTCTCAGAGCAGCCCACTCGGGCCCCCCCTTCTACCCGTCTCTTGGAGAGAAACTTTCTTTCTCTCAATAAATTCTGCTCTTAACCTCCGTTGTCCCTAAAATTCATTCTTCGATTTTAGAGGACACGACCTCGTCCCAGATATAGGTCAGGTTGGGAGTTTCTGTTTCCTGTATCACTTCCTCCCAGCGGCATCCGGAAGCTGCCCGCCTCGAGACCTCTAACTGAATCATGTGTCCCCTTTGCCGTTTCAGGGACACAGTCCTGGGTTCTGAGGACCAGGACTGGTGTCTCGGGGGCCAGTTCTCCGCCTGGCATGCTCTCCCATGCCCCTTGGCCTGTGAGATGACTCTTGCCCCGGTGCAAGGCACCCACGCCTGCTCCCCAGTGACACGGAGTGGTGGCCGGGAGGTCTCCCCGATTTCCCACAACACACCTCTGAAACCTGTGTTTTGGCGGTATTCCCGCTAATGAGCTATTTTAGTGGATTCTTTCCCCCTAAACTGCAAAGGGAAAGTGAGTTTAAAAAAAAAACAGGCCAAAGAAAATGAGGTACAAGTACTCAAAAACGTCCAGGGTCAGGCGGGCCACTGTGATCCTGGAGGTGCCGATTACCAAGGGTCACTCGACCGGACAGCACGGTCTCTGCTGCGGCTTTTGTTTCGAACATGTAGGTAACGTTCTCCTGCGAGTCCTGTCACATAGAAAAGTGACACATAGAAAGATGTCTCTTAGCAGTGTCTCACACACGTGCACACATGCACACGCTTGGACACGTGCACGCGTGTACACAGTCCCCCTGCACACCAGCAGCTCACTGAGAAGTGGATGTGCCAGTGTCCAGCAGGCCGGGCTACTTGCTGCTCTACGGGAACAGAGGGCCGCAGCGACGCGCTCAGCAGTCCCTGTCCTCACCCTGTCAGCCTGGGGCTCTGACACCGGAACAATGGAAACTCAAGCCGAAAGCGTCTGCAGTCACACGCATGAGAAACCTTCCCGGGAACACGAGGCGGCCTGAGTGCTGTGTCCGCACAGCTCACCTGCAGGACCGTGCAGCCGGGAGTGGGCCCTGTTACTTTCCAGGAAGGCGGACATCGAGGGCCCTTTGCAGCCTGTGCGGGGCAGGGTGCTTCGTGCTGAGCCCCTCCCATAAGGCACGTGGCTCCACGTTACAGCGCCGACCTGCCGTGCTTGAGTTCCGTCGCCTGCACCACAACACAGATGAAACACCCAATAAACTCACGAGTCCTTGACAGCCCAGGGAGCCCGCTGTGTAGAGGGGGAATCTGAGGCCGGGAGTGTGGCCCCGTTCACTCCCGGGCTGTGAGCCCCGACTTCAAGGCTGCGGACATTCAGCCTTCACTAAGGAGGGGAAGAAGTTGGAGTGAAGGGCGCCAGCTCCGCAGGGGCTTTCTTTGGCTTCAACCCGTGGCTCTGCCTCTTCCCAGCTGTGTGCCCGTGAGGGAAATTACTGGGTTACATAACCCCGATCAGGCCCACAATCTCCCAAGCGAGTGGACGGCGAAGGCCTAAATAAGTGAGACGATTGAAATGATTCCAGGGCTCCAGGAGAGGCTCGCTCTCTTACAGCTTCGATGTTCTCTGAGTTTAGACGAGGACTTCTCTGGGCGGCCTTTGTTTATATGGTATACAAATACAGGAGGGGATACTCAAGAAAACTCTCAAATCAAGAAAACTCGGGAATCTGCGCACGACTTGGGAAAGACTTTAAGGACTTCCCCGGGTAATACATTATGTTAATTTAGGAGAACTATGTTATCTCCAGGAAGGCCTTCACCGCAGGGGTGAGACGCCTGCAGCTGCTGTCTCCCTGTAGTTAACTGGGGTTGGAGCCAGACGTCCTCAGCTGTGGCCTTATCTTGTCCTTTGAGGCGGCACAGCTTCACAGGCCAGTACAGGCCTGAGGGTGGCCAGTGACTCACGGGGTTCACTTACTATCAGTCCACCGCCCATCCCCAGACAAGGTGCCTCACCTTCAGACAGCTCACAGGTGAACACGGAGAGCCGGTTGGTTAGTGTCAAATCCTGCTCAGAGCCGCTTTGTGCTGGTCTCCAACAGGAAATGCCACTCCGTGCCCAGGCCACGGAACATGCCGATCCTCTAAGCTCAGCGCGTGTGCCGGGGGAGAGGATGCCCGGTGTCCGCGCGGGGCATCGAACACTCAAGGCAAAGGCTGCGTGTCAGCACCGGCAGAGGCTGGAAGTCCTGGGGACGAGGCTGCAGGCCACAGTGGGGAGGGACGGAGAGCGGGGCAGAGGCGGGGCTGGCTCTGAAGAGGCCAGCGCAGTGAGCTCGGGGAAGGGGCATGGCAGTCCAGGAGTGTAGAACCCCATGGGGCCAGCGGCGTCAAAGAGGCTGAGGAGTTAGCTCACAAAGCAGGGGTCAGCTGAGAGGTCAGGGTCTTGGGAAGCACTCACCGTTGGGGATGGCCAAGCCCCAGTGGGTGGGAACAGCACCTGAAGGCACACAGACCAGGGTGGCCATGGAGTCCAGGTGACAGCCTGAAGTCAGTGACGCTGCAAGGAGTGGGCAGCTTGGGCAGCGCCCCCCCTTACGGTGCAGAGCTGCCAGCAGCGACAGGCAGCTTTGGAGATAGTGGTGGGAGGTGAGCCGGGCCCTGGGGGACTACTGACTTCCACAAGGACAGAGAAGTGGGGTCTGGGGGAGTCTGGAGACCCCAGGTGGGTTGGAGGAGAGGGACAACAGGACACCCGCCTCCTGGACCAGTGCAGTGGGGTCGCCATTCGGGGCTGGATCGATCAGGATCAGGAGTTTTCAGTGAAAGCAGGTTGTGGCAGTCGCAGGCTGTGGAGACAAAGGTCTGAGAGAAGGCTGGGCCGCTCGGTGTCTTTGATGTGACCGAGGAGATGACAGAGGCTGGGGGTGGGGAGGGGAAGTCCAGGCACGCAGTGTAGTCCTTGCTAGGCTTTGGGAGTCTGTGTGTTTTGTTGCAATTTCATTGGAGGTTCCTGGGAGCTTCTTGTCCCTGAGGATCTCCTACGGGGGAGGAGGTCACCAAGAAGTCACTAGCCAGTCCTCCCTCGAGGAGTTTGTGGGTGTTTCAAGACATTGATGAGCGTGGTGCACACTCCTGTAATTCCAGTACTTGGGAGGCTGAGGCAGGAGGACCACTGCAGGTTGGAGGCCAGCCTGGGCTATGCAGTGAGTTCTGGGCCAGCCTGCGCTATACAGACAGACCTAGTCTCAAAAAAAAAAAAAAAGACACAAGCACTTGGGGAGTGACAAAAGCTGCAGAAGGGACCAGTGCGCATGTCACAGGAGCAGGGACTTGAGGGCGGACACAGGGCGGAGGGACACCTGTCCACGTAGGAGGGACGAGGAGAGGGTGTGGCCTGAGACCCCCACATGCTTTGCAGGCCGGGACACGCTCCAGCTCCTGTGTGCCGCTGTGGGCGGGCGGGGGACACCAGGTGTGGGAGCACTCGGACTCGCTGTGCCCCCGAGAACACACGAGTCCTCACCTGCGCGCTGGAGACCTCGCCAGCCTAACCCTCGGCTTTCTCCCCAACACAGAACGTGGGCAAGGCCATCACCAAGGGCTGCCACTACGTCGTCCTCGGCCTGCAGAGCTTCGCTGCCGCCTACACAGCCCCGTTCGCAGTGGCCACCAGCGTGGTGTCCTTCGTGCGCTAGAGGACCCCACGCCTTCGGGCTGGAGCTCGGGGACCCTCGGACGAGAAAGCTGCTCCCCTCGTTGGACTGGATGGAGTCAGGTCTGAGCCACTCTTCGCTTCCAGCTCCCACAGCTCCTGGACGTGGTGGCCCTGGCTCATCCTGGGGAACCCAGGTGCCAGCAGCAGTTTTTCCCCCTGGGACACTTGGCACCTTCCTGGAGATGGTTTGAGCGGTGTGGGCAGCAGATGGCCACCGCAGGGGGAAGCGAGCTGGCTGGGGTCCCGAGTTCTCCGGATCCTCCGGTGCAGGTCTCGGCCTCCCAGGGCACGCAGGCCCTGGCCTCCTAACTTCTGCAGCGGCGGCAAAGTGGCCATTTGTGTCTGAAGTCATTCTGCCCCAACCTGCTCCTCCGACTCTGGACTCTGTCGTCGGGGGTTCATCTCAGGCTCAGGAAGAAGGAAAGAGGGCGAGAAGCAGGGAGGGAAGTCGAGATGGACAGACAGACAAACTCCCTTTGTAGGCTACGAGGCTTTGCAAAGCGCATCCACAGCTGGGCCACAGCTGTACAGTGGAGGAACAGTGTTGGTCTCACCATACCGGGTGAGGCTGAGGAGGAAGGGGCGGTCTGCCACCGCCGGGCAGCTCCTCCCTGCGGGGTGGGGCGGGAGGTGCGGATTCTGAGAAGGACCCAGTAAGTAGTGGTGGGTTGGGGGATGTAGAGAGAGGGCGGGAAGGATGCTGGGGGAGCACTGGGCATGCAGGACCAGGTTGAAGTGTCCAGTGTCGGGGGGCCCGGGGCAGCTGACTCTCAGCCTGCGGGGACCGGGAGGTGGGCAGGGCCCATGAGGCTCACACTCTGGCCTTCAGGCTCACACCGTGGGGTATGGGGCACCCTTTGCTGGGTAGGGCTGACTCCTGGACTCAAAGGTTAGCGTGGACGGGGTCCTGGCCCCTGCCTGGGGCAGCTGGGCAGTGCTGGACTCTCAGGCACTCAAAGGGCGGTGAAGGACGGAGAAGAACCCTCTGGCGGCCCTGCAGTGGGCTGTGCTCCAGCTGCAGCCAGGATATCCGGAGCCTGGACGTTCCCGCCTCCTCCACCAGACCCTGGGGCCTGGGAGACAGACGAACGGATGGATGGACAGACGGAAAGGCTGTGTGGGGGAAAACAGTGGCTGGAGGTGAGGTAGGGGAGAAAGAAATAAAACTGGGTAGATGGGAGACAAGGAAGATCAGAATTTTAAAATTGTGCTTTTCAGAAAAACTTCAGCTTTAGGACACAACAGTTACTTAAGCCTTTCTTCCTTTCAGGAAACTCAGATTTTTTCCAGGGGTCTTACATACAATATGCCTGTAACTTGGGCTTCCAGGGCCTGTGTTTTTCACTTGTCTATTACATTTTCTCCCACAAACTTCTACCCCTGAGGAGGCAGCGGTGTTAGTGGGCAGCAGATCTCAGTGTGCAACTCGTGGAGCTCATGTTTGAAGAATAACGTGACCAATCGTGGGAGCGCATGTCCGAGACCCTCTGGCCCAGCCCCTGAGTACCCCAGTTCTGATCACAGGGCGCCCCGAGGGCCTGCATTCTGTCTTTCAGTGTATACTTTTTAAAACTTTCGTCCAATAAATTCCTTTATGCGTCTTACTAGCGTGTCCTGAAAACTTTCTCCAAGATAGGAGTCAGTGAGCCTGCAACTTAGTTCTGTGGTAGGGTGGGCTTAGGGGGCGCCTGGCAATTCTGGATACGGGGAGGAGGACAGAGTGAGGACCCTCAGCGCCACAAGAGGGAAAGGTTGGGTCCCCTGGGGGCTGGGGCGCCTCTTGGGAAGGAACCGGTGGGGAAGCCTGAGCAATCTGGCCCTGAGCTGCTTAAGTCTGGTTAATAGCTAACTCAGCAATGTCAGAAGTCCCAGCCTCGAAGGAGTTTGTCGTAGGGATCTGGTTCAGAGTGGACTTCACCCAGGTAGCTCCCTGGGCCAGCAGGCGCCCCACAGCAGGGCCGGGGTTCTCGTGCTCCCTGTCATGCTGCAGATGGCCTTTGCACCTTTGCTCTCTGACTTCGTTAGTTCCAGGCGCGACGCCCTCCTGGGGCTGCGTTCCAATGCTCTCCTGCCCTTGGCTGAGCGAGGCTCCTGGGTCCTTCCTCGCCCTGTGATGTAAATAAAACTCCAGCTCCCTTATGGTTTCTGTGAAAGCTGTTTCTGCCTCACTTTCTCCCTTGCCTGGGAACCCGGAGCCTCAGGTGGCAGCCAGGTGGGGGCGTCACCCCGGGGGCCCAGCAAGGGTCCACAGCTGCTCCTGGGAGCAGGAAGGCTGTAAGGCAGCTCCGGTGCATGGGTCCCCGCTCAAGAGTCTGCTGAGACCGAGGTCCTCGGATTGGATGTGGAGTCCCGCGTGTAACTGTTCCCTGCGTGGCCCTTGGTGACATCTGCCAGGGACGCCGAGGCGGGGCCCGGGCCAGCCCGTGCGTAGCAGGCCTGGGCACACAGCAGCCCGCAGGAAGGACTTGTAGCAGGGAGAGCGGTGGTCCAGATGGCCGTCAGATGACCGGCAGGCAGGGTGGGGGCCGGGCGGGGAGCCGTTCTCAGAACCCGACAGCCCTGCCCATCTTCGGCCAGGTCTTGGGCCTGGGCAGCTGCAGACCAGGAGAGGAGACGGTTGTGCTCAGCAGTCAGGATGCCAGGCAGGGTGGCTTAGCAACCTCACTTTATTCCATTCTCAGTAAGACAGCAGTGATTGTCTAGTTTATTTTTTTTTTTTTTTTTTTTTTTTTT